TACTGAAGGTATGTGTTGTGCATACAACTGTAAAGTAGCAGGTGCAGCGGCGCGGTAGGGGGTTGTGTTTTCCTAAATTGGTGCTTCTTCCGTCTGAGGGGTTACTGCCGTGTTGCCTCGTTTCTGATGCCGGTTCGGGTGAAGCCCATTCTTTACATTGCATTTGATTGCATTCTCACAGTGTCGTCGTACATTTCGATTCGTTTGTGGATACGCACGCGTGCGTAGTGAGATAGTCTGTGATCGACCTGAAAGGAAGCTGCCAAGGTGCTTTATTGTTTTGTTTGTCCGTTTGTGGATACGCGTTCGTAGTGAGATCGGTAGTCTCGGATCTACCTGAGAGGAAGCTGCCCAGGTACTTACTATTCTGTTTGTAAGTCGCCAGTTGCATGTTTTGCATTATCGCGAGTGGTTTTAACCTGCTTCTGACTTCGCGTACGACGTGCTTCAACGCATTCGGTAGCTAAGGCGGATGGGTTGCACGGCGCGATATTGAAGCGCATTGCTTGTTAAAATGAGCCGGCTTGAATCGGCTGCAAATAGTAAGGAGAGCTATTTAGAGCTCTGATTCTGAACTGGAGCACGGAGACCGTTTTGAATCCCGATGCCGTCTTAGGATTGCAGCAAACAGCTCACTGGAAATGGGTGCGTTTGCGGATCGTTGAAACGGGGGCAAAAATGGAACATTCCTTTTAACATCGATAACGCATTGGCTGTTTCGAGCCAGATTTTGCCGGTTATGTTGAGGTAAGGGTAGGGCTGTGTATTCAGACAGGCCAGGCATAAGTGTAGTGAGCATTTAGAAGATTATCCTTGCTCAGTGGAACTTTTGACAGCAATACCACGAGAGCAATCAGACGTTAGGAAACCACATATATCAAGCGGCGTTCTGAGGGTATTCGGAAAAGAAGTCGAGCGCAGAAGTCGAGCGCAGTTCAGGTGTTTTGAGAAGAAGAATATAGCAATGGATGATGCTGGGGTTTCCTCGCCGTGTATTCGAGTAATAAATAGGATGGAAATACATTTCAGGTGGGGAAGGCGTATAAAAAAGATGCCTGATCTGGCCGACTGCAAGGTAGCACGCCACTGCAGTGGGCTTAGCAACTCGAGCAACGTTAGACAGCTGTGGAAGATGAACAGCAGGACGATCAGTTGCTATGGGATAGAATTTATGCCGTTGCCCTGAGGAGGGCAGTGCAGGGACGATTCGAGATGCAGTGCAGACGTTGGTTGGCTACCTCTGGCGAGATAACCGAAAAGAAGCTATCTAGATCAGGTTATTCCGGTTGATGGGGACGGAATTTTGGATGAATCCCTCGACAGGATGAGGATTCACTCAGCTGGGCAGCTCCGCGTGACGGTGGGGGAGAAGGCGTGCTGATGGCTGACGTCTCTCAAAAGGATGCAGCAACGAGTTGTTGGGAAAAGTGGTATGAGGCTGCATAGTAGGGATCTAGAGAGTGTAGGCAAATGGTTCAGAAAGAGATGTGTTACCTCGCCGAATGGTTAAGTTGTGTACAAAAGGCGGCGCACTGTTGCCCGATGCTACTTGGTGCTGTTTTGGTAGACAAGGAGGTCAGGTAGGTACCTGGGGACTGGGGATTAGCTGGGAATATACCATGTAAGGAATGGATGAGCTGAGAATCAAATCTCTGGATGCACTGAAAGCACAATTGATGAGAAGAGTTGTCTAGAAATCCATGCTGCACGAACAGCACAGGAAGTCGGGCAAAAGGAACGGTGTGGGTGCCTTCAGCAGGGAACTTCAAAAGGCTCGGGCCCTGGTAGCACTTGAACATCTTTAGCTGCAACAGGATTCGGTGACGAAAAGTGAAGGAAGATCAATAGATTTCGCGTTGTCCCTTCTGCAATCAGCATTAAGGATGAGTGCTGGGTCGTCACTGGAACTGCTCATGTGGGATTTGATGAATTAGCGAGTGGTAGTCATGCTGCGGAGATAGCAGTTGAATGGGGTGTCTCTAAAAGGCTGCTGCCATGATATAGAAGAGATGGAAAGCATGCATGCATGGCTGAAGTTCTCACAGTGAGGTGCGGCAGGAGTTCACTTGTGGTTCACTTCAGTGCAAAGCGTTAGCTGCTGCTACAACGACGGCGGCTGTGCAGGGTGTGAGCCCTTTACAGGTAACGTAAAACACACATTCTCACTGAGCAGATGGCTGAAGTGGGTACTGTTGCTGGTGCGTTTGACGATAAGAAATAGAGTTTCGTCTTTTAGTGCGCTGCAGTTGAAGCAATGCTGAAGTGAAGAGTGTGGAGGGTAATTTGAACTTCATGTATTCTGCAGCTCTGGTTGCCTGAGAGATGCAGACTGTGCAAGCTAGCAGGGCTAGCTTTACAGTAGGATGTTTTGGCCTACATCCTGCAGTTTTATGCATAGGGAGCTATGCGGCGAACAACACACTTCGAGTAGCCGCTTAGCAAGTGCAACTCCAAAGCTGCAATTATGCAGAGATAAGCACCTGACAGAACAGGCGAACTTGAAGCAGATCCCACTAATCACTTCCTGCTAGCTGTTCAAGATAGGGTGTCAGCAAGTTTTCCCTACTCGCGAAGACAGATTCCATAGACGTCGGACTGCCAAGTGATGCTGTGTTTGGTGTCGGCATGAAGCAGAAGGCAAGTATGGGAGGTTTTGATGTTAGTCGCCTTTTGTCAAAGATGCAACTTATATGCGTTTCAAAAGGAAAGAACTTCCGCAATAATGGTGAGGTACTATCGTGGAGCCCACGCAAAAGCTTCAGCAAACGGAAAGCTGGATGTGAGAAACGCCAGAGTGCCAGGAAGCAGTAGATGTGGATCAGTTCTTAAGTTCTGAGGAGTTTTGGGGGGTGCTTGAGTGAGGTCCGAATAAATCGTGATCCCCCTAGTTTTATGCCTTTTGATAGTTCCACAGTTCCTGCGCTTTTTAGATCCGCTTGCGATCTGAGGAGAAGCCTGCAATGCCTCTACTGTGGTTCCCTCAATTTTAAATACTCTCATGAATATATGTGTGCAAAATCTATCCTATGTACTTGCAAAGGTTGAGCAGAAGGAGCAAAAGAAAGCTGGTAAAGTGTTTCCTATTTCTCCGGCGATCATGAATCAGAATTTGTGATGATCCCCAGGATGTTTCTATGAGAAACGCGAAGTAGAAGGTATGTTTGTGTCTTTCTTGCAATCGCGGGAGTTGTCTGAGTGAAGAATTCCGGACTTGTCGCATTTCTGAATGCAGCTGAAAGCAGCAACATCTTGCAAAGAAAACAGATGTTTATCTGTTATGGGTTTTGCGTGAATAAAGAGAGAATGGGAAGGGAGTGTTTCGCGGGAAATTATCGACAGACTGAAGACAGTGAGTGCCATTTAGCCGCCGCCACCAGAGGAACTTCCGAAATCACCATCGTTGACTGCCGTTGGCTACAATAAGAAGTTTCTGAATCTTTTATTAAGTGTATTTCGGCCTTTAAACAGAAACTAAGGGCTTACTACAGGGATTCTGGGCTGCAATGGGGCCATCTGTTGCTGCAGGGGAACAGATCCAGTCAACTTCTGTGCAGCTGCTCACTGCTGCTGCTTTCCATTATGGAGAATCTCATGAAGATAGGCCTGACTTGGTTTAGTTTCCGACATTAGGAAGCCAATAATGCCACTAATTTGTTTTTCTCGCCGTTCACTGGGTGGCGTGCTCAGTCAATAGGGGCAGCTGGCACTACTCTGTTCACCGGTTGCTTTCGCCTCTTAATAGCGGTAAGAGTAACGGAACAAAGTTCAAATGTTCTCGTTCTATCATAGCAAGTAGCACTGGAAATGCAAAAGCAATCAAATACTCTCTATCTAGCGAAGCATGCGCTGCTTTGAAACAGGTCTGGGGGCCTTACTAGTTCCCGAAGATTCGAGCTAGAATGCCCTGAAGGGTTCCGTCCACAGTATGTAGCTCTTCTTGACCACATTTGAGACATTACTTTAAAGGGAAGAAGTACTTTTCTGGTCAGCCAAGGGCACAGTTCCTGAACTGTCACTCACAGTGGGTGCCCCGGGAGGACTCCGTGACACTTCCTTTCAACAAAAAGCCAAGATACACCTTTTTAAATGCATTCACTACCCTTATTCCCACTAAAGAACGGCCTCCAGCTTCCTTGGAACGAAGCTCTGTGTACGGTCGTGTGGCCAAGACACGCGAATATGAATGAAACTACGGACTTGAGCCTCGCAAGCCAGCAGGGGTCTTCGAAGGTTATTGTTTTTAGACAAGAAGAAGCTAATTAAATGAAAGAGCAGAATGCAGAGGAGAAGAATTCGCATGGCTTTTTCGTCTTTGCTGACTGTCAAGACTTTCGCGTCCTCGGCTGACTGCTGGAACTCGCCGACGCACTGGGAAAACTGGAGGAGGAGCTCTGAGGACTTCACGCTTTTTGCATTTAATTGTATTTCTTTTTGGGATCAACAAGAAGAACTATCGGAGTCGCATGCGGGAGTTTTCGAGAGAAGAAGAGTTGATCCTCAGCGCTCGAATGCGCTACCTGGCACTGCTGGCTTGAAGACCGCCACCGATGCTGCTGCTGCAGCTCTGCAGACGATTTGGGGCCTCTCACAGCCAACAATCTTTCAAGTTTATGTCTTTTAATTTATTTTAAAAGTGGTCGATTAATGTGTAGGGCTGAAGACGCCTTTCCGCGGGCGGCGTCCACTGGTCCTTCTTGCGTCGTGCACAACAGACTCGGCCTGACTCTCCGCAGGCGAAACTGTCTCAGTCTTTTTCTGTGCAAAAGGGAACTTTGAAGACTTCTTATATTTGAATTTAATTTGAAGTGCCGCTGCTGGAGTTTTGCTGCAGTGTCGGAAGCGCGGCTGCAGCGCCGGCCAGCTGCGGCGACCGCCTGCGCCTGTCGAGCCTCTCTTTCCGCCGGACGAAGTGGAGAGTTTTTCGGAATTTCTCTCAGTTTCGCAAACAACACTTTCTTTAAAAGCATTTAAGTGTTTTGCAGCGCAAATAAACCCGCAGAATGTCCCGCTGCGGCCGCCGGGGCCGCTGCTCGGCGCTGCCGGCGGGCTTCCCTGGGCTGCTGGGCTGTGCGCTGCTGCTGCTGGGCGTCTGCGGGGGCAGCGAGCGGCCAGGCGAGGACAGCTTCAACTCGCGAGCAGCAGGAACACACAGCAGCAGCAGCAGCAGCAGCAGCAGCAGCAGCAGCAGCAGCGCGCACCCCTGGGGCGCCACCTGCGCAGCCTACAAGTCCATTAGCGTAGACTTTCCCCTGCTGCAGGCCAGGGCCTCCTACGACTTGGGGCCCCTGGTGGAGGGGGCCCCCCCGATGGGTTGGGTTTGCAAAGCAGCAGAGCCTTTGTTTGAACTGGAGGAGTACCCGCCCTTCTTCCGCTCCGTCTTATCCCTGCTGGTCGGCAGCAGCAGCAGCAGCAGCAGCAGCAGCAGCAGCAGCAGCAGCAGCAGGAGAAGCCACAAGCTCCACAGACACAAAGACAAACATGTCTTCTTCGCCTTCAACCCCTGCAAGCTGCTGCCCCACACTTGCCACGGCGCCCGCGGCCGTCTTTACAAATTTGCTGCCAAACTCAAAAGGCCCCACGACCCCCACGAGGAGATCAATCGCCTCCTCGCAGACTTCCTAAAGGGGCCCCCGGGGGGCCCCCCGGGGGGCCCCCCAGGGGGGGCCCCCCAGGGGGGCCCGCCGGGGGGCCCCCCGGGGGGGGGCCCCCAGGGGGGCCCCCAGGGGGGCCCCGGGGAGGGCCAGGAGGAAGCAGACACGACGGAGTGTCTGCAGAACGTGCTTGCTGCGAACTCGACTGCGGTGTACGTACAGCGCGGGGAGCTGCAGCAGCAGCAGCAGCAGCAGCAGCAGCTGCAGCAGCTGCAGCAGCACCCGGAGAGCAACGGAGTGGGGGGGTTGTGGGGCGATCCCGAAGTCACTGACGATCCCACTCCCTGGGATCCACTGGACCCCACAGATCCCTCTAAGGGGCTGCAGGCGAGCTTCCGGCACGCCCACGTGTTTTGTCCAGAAGCTGCGCTGCTCATCCACGTGCTGCTCAAGTGCCCCGCTGCTGCTGCTGCTGCCAGCAGCAGCAGCAGCAGCAGCAGCAGCAGCAGCAGCAGCAGCAACTTCGAGCTCTGCGAACACCCCGACCCCTGCACCTTCCGCATGGCCTTGTCTTCTCCTGCGGCTTGCCCCACAGCCGTCGACTACGGCGGCGCCCCAGCAGCAGCAGCAGCAGCAGCGCCAGCAGCAGCAGCAGCAGCAGCAGCAGCAGCAGCGGGGGGGCCCCCGCTGCCTGCACCCAAACCCCAACCCAAGACGCAGCCAGACGGGGGGCCCCACAAAAAGGCTTGGGGGCCCTTTGAGGCCGTTGGGGCCTCAGCCATTCAGCAGGACTTGCGCAGCAGGGGGCCCCACACGCACAGCGCCCCCGCAGCAGCAGCAGCAGCAGCAGCAGCAGCAGAGGGGGGGGAGAGCCTGTGGGGCAAGCTGCCCTTCCTGCTGCTGCTGCTGCTGCGGGTCGGGCTGTGTCTGCTGATCTTTGCTTGGATAATTCACACAATTCGGGACTGGACAGAAACAAAAATGCAATATGTTCCATTTCCCGAAGACAAAGCAGCAGAAGCAGCAGCAGCAGCAGCAGCAGCAGCAGCAAATGTGAATTCGTACGACAGCTGCGCCGAGGCGCTCAGGGGGCTCTCGAGCCCTGCAGCAGCAGCAGCAGCAGCAGCAGCAAGCGACTCCGACGGCTTCCAGCTGGCCGTGAAGTACCCAGAGGGCCCCGCCCCCAGCGGCCCAGCAGCAGCAACAGCAGCAGCAGCAGCAGCAGCAGCAGCAGCAGCAGCAAGGCCCCCGCGGCGCGCGCTGCGGGGGCTCTACTCCACCCCCGGGCGGCGGCTGCTGAGTGTTTGGCTGCCGCAAACTGTGGAAGCAGCAGCGCAGCAGCTGCATGCGTTTTCGGAAGCAGCAGTGAAGGCCTGCAGCAAAGCTGCTGCTGCAGTCTCGCGCAGCAGCAGGGGCCCCGCGGGGGAGTTTGCTGCTGCTGCTGCTGCTGCTGCGGGGCCCCAGTGGGAGTGGACTGACGCTCTCGACCTCAGCAGCACAGAAGCTGCTGCTGCAGCAGCAGATTCTTTTCGCCAGCCCTCTCCGGGCCTCAGGGACTACGAAACAATTAACTAGCCAAAAGAAACAAAATGTGTTTTGCTGCTGCTGCTGCTGCTGCTGCTGCTGCTGCTTTCGCGCAGCTGCAGCGCAGCACGCCTGCTGCACACTGCAGGGCTGCAGCCGCAAAGTTCAAGTTCTTATTCAAACGCGATGCTGCAGTTCCTGCAGCTGCGGGCGGGGGAGTCAGCAGCTCCGGGTCTTTTGTGCTGCAGCAGCTGCAGCAGCAGACCCGCAGCTGCTGCCCAGCCTGCTGCTGCAGCGCAGCAAAAGCAGCTTGCGGCAAGTGCTGCCCGGTGTCTGTACAGCAGCCGCCCAGCAGCATTTTAGCATTTCTCTGAGCGCAGGCAGGGAGGCTGTTCTCTTGCTGCTGCTGGCGTCCTGTGTCAGGCGTAATTTGAATAGGCCTCTGCAGGGATGAAGTCCTCGTCTCTCTCGAGGCCGAGCTGCTGCTGCAGCTGCTGCTGGTCCGTCTGGGCCCTCTCAGCCAGCAGCTGCAGCAGCAGCAAACAGCGGCGCTTTTGTGTCGCCCAGGCTGCATGCAGCTGCGCATGCAGCAGCTCAGCAGCAGTGGCTTCTGCTGCTGTCACTGCAGCAGGAGCCCCGCGCTGCTGCTGCGCCTGCTGCAGCCTCGCGGCGCGCTCGGCCTCAGCTGCAGCAGCAAGAACAGCAAGTGACGCGTGAAGAGGCGTGAAACGGCAGATGCTGCTGCTGCTGCTGCTGCTGCTGCTGCAGCAGCAGCAGCAGCAGCAGCAGCCAGAAAAGAATGAGGCGCACCTGCAGCAACTTTGGCCTTCAAACTCTCCAGCTGCGCCCCGCGGCTCTGCGCATCTTGGAGGCGCTGCTGCAGCGCAGTTTGCTTCCTGAGTTGTTCTGCAGCAGCAGCAGCAGCAGCAGCAGCAGCAGCAGCAGCAGAAGTTGAATTGGACGGGTTTTTGCGCGTTTGCTGCTGCAGTCCTACGCTCGAGCTCCTTGACCTCTTCCCGCAGTGCTGCAGCAAAAGACAGAGTTGAAGCAGCAGCTGCTGCTGCTGGAAAAGAGCAGCAGCATCACCTGAAAGTTCTGCTGCCATTTCGCTGCTGCTGCCAGCTGCTGCAGCGCCGAAGTGGCTCTGGGCGTACATGAAGACCTGCAGCAGGTGCAGCACGAGCAGCATCAAGTGCAGCAGCAGCAGCAGCAGCAGGAAGGCAGCAGCAAAAGGATCTCACGCGAGTCTTTCCAAGATCTTTCGAAATAAGAAAACCTTCTTCTACCAGCTGCTGCAGCAGCTTTTCAAGTTCAGCTTTCTTCACTGCCCGCCGCAAATTGTCGAAAATCTGAAAGCAGCAGCGCAGCAGCTGCAGCAGCGCAGCAGTTTGCTTCGGGTCTGCAGCGCCTCACCAGCTGCAGGTTGTAGGGTCTGTTTTGCTGCCGCATGTACCCCAGCACCAGTTCTCGCGCGGGCGTTGCAGCTGCTGCATCTCCTGCTGCTGCTGCTGCTGCAGCAGCAGCAGCAGCAGCAGCAGCAGCAGCAGGCTCGGCCTTAGCCTTTTTCCGCCGCGGCGGCTTCTCAGCCGACGCCCGCTTGCTGCCCGCAGTCGCCGCCGGCAGCGCCGCGCCCGCAGCCTCAGCTGCTGCGGAATCCATCATTATTTCGGAGAAACTTGGAGGATTTTTGGGGAATTTGGAGCTTTATTTGAAAAGAAATGCTTTTAAAGTGACGCAGCAGCAGCAGACGCAAGAAGCCGCGCGCGCGGAGCCGCTTCCGCGACCCAGACTTGCCCGCGCGCTTCAGGTGTACGTACACCTGAAGCGCTGCCGCGCGATCCAACTTGAACGACGCGGAAAGCTGAATTAATTCGGCGAATTTCATTTTATAAATACTATTTTAAGAGTCTAATTTCTTTTTATAAATACTATTTGCAGAGTCTAGATTTGCAATCTTGCTGCTGCTGAGCTGCAGCGCGAAAATCTGAACTGCTGCAGCCATTTTTCTTCCCAGGCAGCACTTGTGCAACTCAGCAGCAGCAGCTCCGCCCAAATGCTGCAGCTCTTAGCAGCAGACAGCACCTCCTCAAGTTCCTTTTTTTAATGTTTACTGCGCTGCTGCTGCTGCTGCTGCTGCTGCAGCGCAGCAGCAGCGCTGCGAAAATTTGAACGAACTGTATAGGGGCCTCCCCAGCGGCCCGCAGCCGCCCTGGTGCTTCGCATCGTTGCTGCTGCTGCTGCTGCTGCTGCTGCTGCTGCATCGCAGCGGCAGCGCAGCGAGAAGTTGAACGAAATGTATGATGGCCTGCCCAGCCGGGCTAGCAGCTGAGGGCCTCAGCAGCAAAAGCCAAAATAAATTAATTAGCAGCAGCAGCAGCCCACAGCAGCAGCGGCACATTCTCAAACCTAACGCACTGGGCAGCAGACCTCAAACTGTTGCAGCAGCAGCAGCAGCAGCAGCTGCTGCTGCTGCTGCTGTTGCTGCTGCGGATAGCTTGAAGGCGTAGCAGACATAGCTCAAAATCCTGTTGGACTATTTAGCAGCAGCAAATCAATAGGCAGCAAACAGCACTCCAGGGAAACTCCTTAAACTAAAATAACCAAAGCCAGTTGCTGCTGCAGCAGCAGCTTGCTGCAGCGGCTTGCTGCAGCAGCTTGCTGCAGTGTCTATATACCCGCTGCAGGGTCGCCGCAGAGGCTGCAGCAGCAAGCCGGTGCTGCAGCAGCAGCAGCCAAAGCAGCAGCTTCGGAGTGGTGCTGCTGCTGCACTATTTGCAGTTGCTGCGCCTGCTGCAGCTAGTGAGGTTGCTGCAGGTAGTGAAGATGCTGCAGTTGCAGCTGCTGCTGCTGCTGCAGTGTGCTGCTGCTGCTGCTGCTGCAGTGTGCTGCTGCTGCTGCTGCTGCTGCGGTGTCTGCAGAGTGAGCAGCAGCAGTGTCTTGTCTGGCCATCAGCGCCTTTGGCACTTTTGAATTTAATTTCGGACTTTCAATTTTCCTTTTCTCCACAATTAAAAACTGCTTCTCAACTCCGAACATTCTGCTGCTGCTGCTGCTGCTGCTGCTGCTGCTGCTGCTGCTGCTGCAGGCGGCGCTTGAGCGCAGCCAGCCTGCGGCGCTCCGCCTCCACCCACTCGAAGTCGTCCGGGCGCATCAAAAAGGCCGTCAGCCAAGTCAGCCCCAGCCCGAAGCACGCGAGGGCCAGGCCCAGCGTCGTGGCCTGCAAAACCCTAAACCCTAAACCCTAAACCCTAAACCCTAAACCCTAAACCCTAAACCCTAGCCGCCCGCAGCCCTCCCCGCCAAAGGCGCCGCGGAAACCCACAGCACAGCTCCCCGAAACGCCGCGCAAGCCACACACCGCCCACCGCACTCAAACCCTAAACCCTAAACCCTAAACCCTAAACCCTAAGCCCTAAACCCTAAACCCTAAACCCTAAACCCTCAGAGTGCCAGCGGGACCCCGAGGGGGCCGACGCGACAGCGCAGGCGTCTCAACCGCAGCCGCAAACAAACCCCCAACCCCAAACCCCCAACCCCAAACCCCAAACCCTAAACCCTAAACCCTAAACCCTAAACCCTACTTTGAACTCTTTGGAGAAACGCTGCGGGCGGCCCCACATGAACTGGTGGAACTTCTCGCGGGGAATGTCGAAAGGGTCGGGGGCCCCCAGGGGCCTCTTATAAGAGCCATCGTAAGGGTTTGGGGCGAGGGGCCTCTGGGCCTCGATTTCGTCCGCCGGGTGCTGCTGCTGCTGCTGCTGCTGCTGCTGCTGCTGCTGCTGCTGCGGGGCCCCGCGCAGCTGCAGCAGCGAACGCAGGCTCGCCACGCGGCGCAGCTGCGGTGTACGTACACCCCAACTGCTCGCGCGTCCTGGACTAAGAAGAGACACTTCTGCAGAAGACCTGCTGCTAAGACCCGCAGACAGGCAAAGTCTGCTGCTGCTGCTGCTGCTGCTGCTGATGCTGCTGCTGCTGCTGATGCTGCTGCTGCTGCTGCTGATGCTGCTGCTGCTGCTGCGGCTGGTGCTGATGCGGCTGGTAGTGCTGCGGCTGGTGATGCTGCGGCTGGTGCTGGCGCTGCTGCTGGTGCTGCTGCAGCTGCTGCTGCTGATGCTGCTGCTGCTGCAGCTGCTGCTGCTGCTGCTGCTGCGGCTGAGAGAAAGGGCGCAGCGGCGACTCGTGGCGGCCAGCGGCCCCATGGCTGCAGCAGCTTTTCGAAAAGAAAATAAAAATTTAAATAAATAAAAAAGAAAAGACTTTTAATTAAAACTAAAATAATAAATTAAAATAAAATAATTCACAAAAAAGCCTAAATGCTCCCAGAAGGACCACAGCAGCAACGCACTTCAACACTGGCTTCTGCTGCTGCTGCTTTTGCTGCTGCTGTTGCTGCTGCCGTTGCTGCTGCTGTTGCTGCTGCTGCTGCAGCTGTTGCTGCGGCAGTTGCTGCTGTTGCTATCTGCGGTGATGGCGCTGCTGCTGCTGCTGCTGTTGCTTTTCGCTTCCCGCTGCGCTGCTGTTGCTGCTGCTGCTGCTGCTGCTGGTGTTGCCGCAGCTCTTGCTGCTGCTGTTGCTGTTGCTGCTGCTGCTGGTGTTGCCGCAGCTCTTGCTGCTGCTGTTGCTGCTGCTGCTGCTGTTGCTGCTGCTGCTGCCCCTGAAACAGCGCTTCGTCGCAGCAAGCAAACAACAGCGCCGCGGCCTTTCACACACCTGCTGCTGCAGCTGGCGTTGGGGAGCTGTGCAGGGAAAAACCCTAGGGTTTAGGGTTTAGCGTTTAGGGTTTAGGGTTTAGGGTTTAGGGTTTAGGGTTTCTGAGGGTTAAAAACACAGCGGCGGGCTGGCTGCGGCGGCTGTGCTGCGGCGAGCAGCAGCGGGACTGCGCCGGGGCTGCATGCGGCGATCGGAGGATAGAAAGGCACTTTTGTGGTCCTTTTTTCGCTTTTTTTGTTTTTAATTGTTGAAATTTAATAAAATAAATATTTTAATTTAATTTAATTTCAATTTAAACGAAAAATCCGCGCCAGTTCGGCTGCTCTGCGTGCCAGGGCGCCCCGGCGCCGCCACGCCGCGGCCTGCAGCCGCGCCAGCCGAGTTCTTTTTTGTTTTTCTTTTTTATTTAATTTAATTTAAATTGTTATTTATTCCTGGTTATTCTCTGCTGCTGCTGCTGCTGCTGTTGCTGCTGCTGCTGCTGCTGCTGCTGCGCCGACAGCAGCGTTTGTTGCTGCCAGCTATCTCGCAAGCCTGAGGTGTACGTACACCTCAGCGCCCACCCGCTCCGCGGCCTGGCCCTCTCCGTGCTGGTCATTTAATTCAATTTGCTGCTGCTGCGCTGCAGCAGCTGTCAGCAGCAGCAGCAGCTGTCAGCAGCAGCAGCAGCAGCAGCAGCAGCAGCAGCAAATGCAGGGGCTCGTGCTGCAGCTCGGGTTTGCTGCATCTGGGGGCCCCGCAGCAGCAAGGGGGGCCCCTTGAGCTGCAGCAGCAAAAGTCTCAAAACTTGTTTATTTTTTTTGTTTTTTTCCCCTTTTTTCCGCTTTTTGGATCTTATTTGCTGCTGCATCTCTTTCTGCTGCTCCCTTAGCTGCTGCTAGCAGCTTTTGCCCCACTTTCTCCTCTTTTTTCCATTTGCTGCTGCAAAATGCTGCCCCCGGGAGACCCCGAAGACGCAGACAACTCCATCTTCCGGGGCAAAAGGCGGGCCCCTGCTTCCCCGCTGCAGCAAGCAGCGCAGCAGCAGCAGCAGCAGCAGCAGCAGAGCGAAGATGCTGCAGCACTTGAAGACAGCTTGATGGCGCTGCTGCTGCCGGAGGGAGCCTCAGCAGCAGCAGAAGCAGCAGCAGCAGCAGCAGCAGCAGCAGCAGACTCCGACGCCGCCTCCAACGCCGCCTTAGCAGAGCTCGCGGGGCTCTCCCCCACCGCCCTGGGGGGCCCCCTGGGGCCCCCGGGGCCCCCAGGATCCCCGGGGCGCAGCAGCAGCTGGGGGCGGGCAGGAGCTGCTGTCGGCGGGCGTTGGGGGCTGCTGCGCAGCAGCAGCAGCAGTTGCTGCTTGCGGGGCGCAGCAGCAGCAGCAGCAGCAGCAGCAGCCCGTGCAGGTGCAAAACGTCATTGCCAGCGGGCGCTTCGTGCTGCAGGGCCCCAGAGGCTCTTTTGACCTCCGCAGAATTGCAATTAGCTGCCGCTTTGCAGAGTACAATCCGCGGAAGGTGAATGCATGCATAGTGCGGCTGCGGCGGCCGCGCTGCACGGCGATGATCTTCCGTTCGGGTGCGTTTCGGCTCCTTTTCGATTTATTTCTTTTATTTCCTCTTTTATTTCCTCTTTTATTTCCTTTTTGCTTTTTTAATTTCAAAAATGATCCGCGAAAACCCCCGAAAGAGCCCCGCGGCGCGCGCCGTTTTCAGGTGTATAGGCAGCTCCGCGCGCGGCGCGCGCCGTTTTCAGGTGTATAGGCAGCTCTGCGCGCTGCGCCGATCTGCCGCCATTTATTTGTTTTTATATTTTATTTAGTTAATTTATTTGTCAATTTATTATTTGTTTTTGTTTTTATTTCCATTTTTGAATTCTTCTTCCGGTTCCGCGCGCTGCAGGCCGAGTTATGCTCACCGGCGCCCAGAGCGAAGCCGCTGCGCTGCGGGCCGCGCGGCTGCTGGTCAAAATGCTGGAGGCCATCTTTTGCCCCAAACCGCCTGTTGCTGCTGCTGCTGCTGCTGCTGCGGAGCCGCAGCAGCTGCTGCAGCTGCTGCAGCTGCCGCCGCCGGAGACGCAGGAGGCGCCGGGGGACCCGCCAGCAGCAGCAGCAGGGCCACTGGCGCTGCTATCCGAGAGCAGCGAAGGCAGCACTGCAGCAGCAGCAGCAGCAGCAGCCTCCGCGCCAGCAGCAGGAGCCGCTGCTGCTGCTGCTGCTGCTGCTGCTGCAGCCCCCGAGCAGCAGCAACTGGCAGTGCGAGAGGGGCCCCCCGCCCCCGAAAAGGCCCTGGGGGCCCCCGCAGCGGCGCAGGGGGCCCCCCGGAGCAGCGCAGAGAACTGCAGCAGCAAGCAGAGCTGCAGCAGCAAACAGAGCAGCAGCAGCAGCAGCAAACAGAACTGCAGCAGCATAAAGCTCGCGGACTTCGCCGTGGAAAATATTGTTGCAACAGCAGACTGCGGCCTCCCAGTGAGGCTTGAGGGTTTGGCCTTCGACCACAAGGAGTTCTGCAGCTACGAGCCCGAGCTCTTCGCAGGCAGGGTTTAGGGTTTAGGGTTTAGGGTTTAGGGTTTGGGGTTTGGGGTTTCGGGTTTGGGGGCTGCGGCGGCCGGGTGGTCGCCCGCTGCTGCGGGCCTGGCTGTGGCGCCTGCTTCGCCGCGCCTGGGCGCAGCACCTAGGGTTTAGGGTTTAGGGTTTAGGGTTTAGGGTTTAGGGTTTAGGGTTTGTGCTGCAGGGCTGGTGTACCGCTACAGCCCCACGCCTTCGCTGAAGGCCGTGCTGCTGATTTTCGTCAGCGGCAAAGTCGTCATAACTGGCTGCCGCGCGGAAGCAGAAGTGGAAGAAGTTTTCAATTCTTTTTTTCCCGTGCTGCTCAAGTACCACACCTAGCAGCAGCAGCAGCAGCAGCAGCAGCAGCAGCAGCAGCAGCAGCAGCAGCGGCAGCGGGAGCAGCAGCAGCGGGGCAGCGGGAGCAGCAGCCAGAGCGGCGGCAGCAGCAGCCAGAGCGGCGGCAGCAGCAGCAACAGTAGCAGCAGCAGCAGCAACAGCAGCAGCAGCAACAGCAACAGCAGCAGCAGCAGCAGCAGCAGCAGCAACAGCCGGAGCTGGAAGCTGGGTCGAACTGCTGCACAGAAACTCAATCCAAGTCGAGCTTCTGCTGCTGCTGCCACTGCTGCTTTTGCTGCTGCTGCTGCTGCTGCTCTTGCTGCGCAGTCTGCTGCTGCTGCTTCTGCTGCTCTTGCTGCGCAGTCTGCTGCCAGCAGGCAGCAATGAACAGCAGCAAATCTAAACAGCCGCAGAAGTAATTTTAATTTTTTATTTTAGAAAATATAATCAATCTCTTCCACAAAAAGTAAAATTAGATTTATTTTTAAATTCAAAAATTACTTCTCAGAATTCAACTTCAGTGAGGCGCGGGTGTACGTACATTGGAGGGCCCCGATCCCGCGCAGCCGCGCAGCGACAGAATGCGCTGAGGGTTTAGGGTTTAGGGTTTAGGGTTTAGGGTTTAGGGTTTAGGGTTTAGAGTAAGGGGCTCTTTGCGCTGGCGGCTGCAGTGGCGGGCTTTTGAACTGCTGCTGGGGTGTGCAATGGGGGGCTGGGGGTCTAAAAGCGCGGAAAGTTTATTTTTTTTGAATAAATGGATTTATTTTAAATAAAAAAAAGAAAATAAAAAAAGATTTTTGAATTTGCGCGGCTTTTAAGCTGCGATCCGCGGGAAGTGCTCGCGGCGTCGGCGCACTGCCTGGGCGGGCGGCTGTGCTTCCTTCGCGGCGCGCGGCGGCGCGCGTTCGCGGGGGCGAAAACGCGGAAATAAAATCCAATTTTTGTCCTTTTTTGATTTTTCTTTTTAATAAAAGAAAACAAATTAAAAACGGGGAGGCGGAGAGCGTTGCGGCGGCCGCAACGCCGCAGACGATCGAGGCCCGTGTGCACCGCGGCTCTGCGCCCGCGCGGCTCGGGGCTGCGCCGCAGGCCCCTCCAGCGCCGCCTTTCGCCTCCAAACCCTTTATTTATTTGTTTTTTATTTGTTTTCCGCTTTTAAAAAGCTTTTATTCGCCGCCGGCGCTCTTTTTCCGGAAGATCGCGCTCGGTTTCCGTCGCCGGTGCGCGCGGTGTACGTACACCGCGCCGCCGCAGCTCCGCCGTCCACCGCGGCGTCCTCGAGCTGCTGCTCGCCATTTAATTCTTTTCTGCGTTTTTTCTTTTTTAAATTCAACTTTAATCCATTTCGGGTCCCCGGAGCGGCGCAGCAGCCAAGTTTCCCGCGAGTTCCCGTCCCGCCCCACAGCCACAAGCTGCTGCTGCTGCTGCTGCTGCTGCTGTTGCTGCTGTTGCTGCTGCTTCTCAGCTATGAGCAGCGCAGCAGCTTGACTTCAATGGGCGGGCCGGCGCTCCGGGGCCTCGAGAGCTGCAGCGGCGAAGCGGCTTCCCGCGGGCGGCTTGCTGCTGCTGCTGCTGCTGCTGCTGCAGCAGCAGCAGCAGCAATGCTCTGCGGCGCCCCAGGGGCCCAGAAGCCCCCCGGCCCCCCATATGGCCGAATTGGCTCTTGCTGCTGCCAGCAGCAAGCCCTGCTGCGCCGAAGGCAGCACGCCGTTTGCTGCTGCTGCGCTGCTGCTGCTTTCGCCTGCGCCGCTGCTGCTGCTGCTGCTGCAGCGCAGCAGCAGCAGCCCGCCTGCTGCCTGCAGGCCTTCAGGTGTACAGACAGGCGCCGGTGAGCTCCCCGCCGAGCCGCTTTTGCTTCTTCATTTCTTTTAATGTCAAAAAGTGAAATATGATTCATGTGGAGCCTTTCAGGCGCCTGCGCACTGCAGCAGACTGGCCCGAGGCTTCGCTGCAGCAGCAGCAGCAGCAGCAGCAGCAGCAGCAGCAAAGCCACAGGCCAGAAGCAACAGCAGTATATGTCATTGTGGTGTTGAGCCTTTTGGCCCTGGCCATTCTTTCGGTGGGCCTTTGGTGGTGCAAGCACGGCTTCGGGTCCCCGGGCCTGCAGGCCAGCAGCAGCAGCAGCAGCAGCAGCAGCAGCAGCAGCAGCAGCAGCAGCACGGTGGCGCGCGCAGCAGCAAAGCCGCGCAAGGGCAGCAGCAACAGCGAAGGCCTCTGGGGGGACTTGGGGGCTTTCAGCGCAGCAGCTTTTAAGCCCTGCAGCGTTGAGGTGCGGGGAAGCAGCAGGTTGCAGCTGCCGCCGCCCCCGCCTGCTGCTGCAGCAGCAGCAGCAGCAGCAGCAGCAGCAGCAGCAAGCAGCAGCAGCGTCGTGCGGGTGCGCTCGCGCAGGGCAAGAGCAGCAAAGGCCAGGGCCCGGCTGCGGCGGCTGCGCTCGACGAGATCTTTTTGCGGCCTTTGCAGCCAGCCCTACAGCCACTGCAGGCTGCCTGCAGCAGCAGCAGCAGCAGCAGCAGCAGCAGCAGCAGCAGCAGCAGCAGCGGGCGGGGCGGCCGGCAGCAGCGCCGACTCCCTCTCCGGGAAGGCCAAGGGCCCGCAGTGTATAGACAGATATGTCTTGGGGCTGCAGATGCTGCAGCGGGCAGCTTTGCTGCGGATAAGAAGGTCTGGGGCTTCAGCAGCAGCAGCAGCAGCAGCTGCTGCTGCTGCTGCTGCTGCGGAGGGCGCCTAGCTGCCCTGCAGCAGCTGCTGCTGCTGCTGCTGCTGCTGGTGGCAGCACTTTGTTTGTGTCTGCAAGTTGTCAATTTGTTTTAAGTTTTGGTATTTTTGAAAGGAGCTGCTGCTGCTGCTGCTGCTGCTGCTGCTGCTGCTGCGGCGCTGAGGTGTGCGTACAGCTCCGCTGAGGTGTACGTACACCTCAGCAGCCGGCGCCTCCGGGGCTCCATTTGTTTCGCAGAAAACGAATTTGAAGTTTATTTGAAGTTTAATTTATTTTATTTGAAGTTTAATTTACTTTATTTGAAGTTAAATTCGAAATTATTTGAGTTTAGTTTGAAGTTTGACTTCAGTTTTATTTTTACTTTCGAAGCGCTTCAGGTGTACGTACACCGCGCGCTCGTGCGCAAATTTGAATTTCAAATTTTCATTTTTTTCTTTTCAAGAAAGTTTTAATTTGCTTTTAAAACAGACAATTAAATGGCGCCACAAAACCATTTAAACTCCAAGTCTTCTCAAACCCCAAACCCTAAACCCTAAACCCTAAACCCTAGGGCCTTCGGGTGTATGTACAAACAGGCGAAAAGTGCAGATTTGCGGGGTAAACAACAAATGGATAATTCTTTTTTTGTGATGAAAATAAAATAAAATGGAATAAAATAAAATAAAATAAAATAAAATAAAAAGAATAAAATAAAATAAAATAAAATAAATTCACATTTGTGGCAATAATGCAAATAAACAAATTTCCACTTGTGCAAATGCATGCGCGCCTTCGATTAAATCAACTTTCTGAGTTAAAACAAAAAAGACAATAAAACAAATTAAATAAATTAAACAAATTAAATAAATTAAATACATTAAGTAATTGAATTAATTAAAATAGTTAAAATAATAAAAATGAAATAAATATGATTAAAAGAATTGTAAACAAACAAACAGGAAGTGGAGATGCATGCAGCAGCAGCAGCTGCTGCTGCAGCGGCGAGAGCGGGGAAAGCAGCATTTAACTGCATAGACAATAAAAATAAAAAAGAATAAAATAAATAATAAAAGGAATTAAAAGAATTAAAAGAATTAAAATAATTAAAACAATTAAAATAATTAAAATAATTAAAATAATTAAAATGTTTAAATGAAATAAAAAGTCGAAAACGAATCCGCCGGACCTGCAGTGACACCTGCGGGGTGTCTGCGCAGCTCGTTTTGCTTCTGCGCAAAATTCGAATTCTTTTTTTCATTTAAATTATTTTAGTTTTCAGATTGGCAATTCAAGTTGCAATTAAATTCAACTTTCTTTCTTTTTGTTCCTTTCTTTCTCCTCAGCACAGACACACACAGAAAGGGCTCCCAAATAACTCCTCTTCAGCTAGCTGCAGCAGCTAGCTGCAGCAGCTAGCCGCAGCTAGCTGCAGCAGCTAGCTGCAGCAGCTGGGCAGCAGCTAGCTGCAGCAGCTAGCTGCAGCAGCTAGTTGCAGCAGCTAGTTGCAGCAGCTAGCTGCAGCTAGCAGCAGCTAGCTGCAGCAGCTAGCTGGAGCTAGCTGCTGCTAGATACGGCTAGCTCTGTCTAGTGGCTAGCTCTAGCTAGCTGTAGCTAGCTGTAGCTGGCTTTGGCTAGCTGCAGCTAGCTGCGGCTGACGGTAGCTAGCTGGCTAGCTAGCTGCAGCCAGAGTCAGCTGGGGCTAGCTAGCTGCGGCTGGAGTCCGGCAGCTAGCTAGCTGCCGCTAGCTAGCTGCAGCTAATGCTAGCTAGCTGCAGCTAGCCACAGATAGCCGCAGCTAGCTGCAGCTAGCTGGAGCCGGAGGCGCTGCTGGTTCTTGTTTTGCTGCTGATTTGTGGGGTGTTGGTGCTGCTGCTGCTTGGCGAGAGGGGGAGCAGCAGTGCATGCGTTTGAGGTGTACGTACAGCCCGGAGTCGCTGCTGCTGCGTGGAGGCCCCTGGGCCGCCAGCTGGGGTGTACGTACACCTGAGATATGTGCAGCTCTTTCTCTTTGCTGCTGCTGGGGGATTTGTCTTCTGCTGGGTTGAGGGGCCCCCCGGGGGCCCCCGGGGGCCCCCGGGGGTCGTTTGTGTTCGAATTTGATTTGAAAAGAATTAAATAAATAAATAAAAGAAAATAAAATCGAAAAGAAGTGAAGAAAAGAGCAAAGGGCGGCGGGCGGCGGCAGCGGCGCAGCCGCGGGCCCCAGCAGCGCAGCAGCAAAGGCTGCGAGACCGCCGCAGCAGCAGCGGGCCGACTGGCTTTTGCTTTTTCGAATTTTAGTTCTTTTTTGGTTTATTTTTTGCGTTTTGATTTACCATTTGGGAGGAAAAAAGAGAAAGAGTTATGTTTGAAGGCGGAAGAGAGCAGCAGCAGCGGCGCGGCGGCTGCGCTCACCGACGGGCGGCGAGCCGGAGGCTCCCGAACGCCGCTCTTCTTCGTTTTTTCGCCAATCAAACGCTCTTATTTGATTAAATTGTTAATTTTGAACTCTTTTTTCTTCAATTTCGCGAAAAATAACCGCAGAAACTCGCGCGCTTGCCCGCCGCCGCCGCCCGCCACCAGCTGTCTGGACACCTCAACAGCCTGCGCAACCCCGATCTTCGCCGCTGCTGCTCTTCACTTCATTTCTTTTTCTTTTCTTTTCTTTTCTTTTCCTTTGGCCTTTTCCCGCTGCCCGTGGGGCTCGACAACCCGCGGGAATGACAGCAGCAGCAAACCAAACCTTCACCAACTGAACCTGCTGCTGCTGCTGCTGCTGCTGCTGCACACCCCCTCAAGGCGCAGCCGCCATGCCGCCTGGCCCTCCGCCTGCCTCCACAGCAGCAGCAGCAGCAGCAGCAGCAGCAGCAGCGGAAGGCGCAGCAGCGGGCGCAGCCGAGGCTGCAGCTGCGCCTCCCGCTGCTGCTCCCGCCCCAGCGCCTGCTGCTGCGGCTCCTCCTGCTGCAGCGCCTGCTGCTGCGGCTCCTCCTGCTGCAGCGCCTGCTGCTGCAGCTCCTGCTGCAGCAGCAGCAGCAGCAGCACGGCCCTCGCGGGATGTCCGCGGCAGCAGCACCCCGGCCCCCAGCGCCAGTGCTGGCATTCAGCTCCACAGTTTGCAAAAGGGGCCCCCAGGGCACGGGGGGGCCCCCTCAGGGGCCCCCCAAGCCTCTCAGCAGCAGCAGCAGCAGCAGCAGCAGCAGCAGCAGCAGCAGCAGCAGGTTGTGTCGGGGGAGGGAGCTGGGGTATCTTGTCCCGGGGTTGGCGGGGGCAGCAGCAGCGGGCCGGGGGCGGAGGCGGCCTCCTCCTCCTCCGCAGCAGCTGCAGCAGCAGCAGCAGCAGCAGCAGCAGCAGCAGGGGCGCGCGGGCGCGGGGGCTACGCGGAGGCGCTGTACCGGCAGCAGCAGCAGCAGCAGCAGCAGCAGCAGCAGCTGTGCACGACAGTGGACCGCACAGACTCCAGACCTCCTGGAGAATTCATCAGAAGACATGGATTTAGTAAACCTTTTCAAGTTTATCAAGTTGCTTCTTGGTTTTTATTTGCTGCTGACTTGCTGCTGTTCTACTTGGTGGTGGTTCCTGCGGTGTCTGTACACCTCAAGGCGGTTTGTGGGGTCCTCTTCGGCTGCTGCTGCTGCTCTTTGTTTGTCTTGGCTTACAAGTGCACAGCAGCAGACCCGATAGACCCTTTGGCTTTTGCTTCCGGTCCTTACAGTCCTGCTGCTGCTGCTGCTGCTGCTGCTGCTGCTGCTGCGGACGCTGCTGCTGCTGCTGCTGCTGCTGCGGGCGCGGCGGCGCCCGGCGCCGGCGCCGCC